GCCGACAGCTGCCACGTCCTGGCATGTGGGAGGAGGTCCCAGCTGCGCGGGCCTGGGCCCCTGCGAACAGCATTGCAGGGGGGCAGAATGTGCTGCCACGGTGCCTGCCCCGGGCAGGCTGACCCAGGCCCCCCTGCCCTTGCCCCCACAGGCGCCGCTTGCAGCTGAATCCCACCCAGGCTTTCTTCCTGCTGGTGAACCAGCACAGCATGGTGAGTGTGTCTACCCCCATCTCGGAGATCTACGAGCAGGAGAAGGACGAGGATGGCTTCCTCTACATGGTCTATGCTTCCCAGGAGACCTTTGGCTATTGAGGCCTGCTGAGAGGCGGCACGTGGAGACAGACGAACTGTGGTGCGCGGGCCCCGGCCCTGCGAAGGCAGCACGGCCAGTGGCTCTGAGGAGCGGGACTGTGCTGACGCCCTCCTCTCCCTCCTTCCCTTCCCTTCCCACCACCCCATGCCCAGTGGCTCGTGGCGTCTGTGGGACCCGCTTGGCCTGTCACCTCTGCGTGGCGGAACGGGGACGGGGCACCGCAGTCCTTGCTGTCGGCGCGGGGAGAGCTGCCTCTGCTCCGCGTCACTGGTGGCGGGCAGGGGGTCTGCGGACGCAGCAAACGGATGTTAGCATTGCTCCTGAGTTTTAATTGGTTTTAATTACACCCATATCAGATTCTTGGTGCTACTGAGTAGATGTAGGCGTTTCTGTAGGACTGTGGATGACGTATATCCCTTAGATTTATTTTACTGGGTTTTTTTGTTTGTTTTTTTTTAGGAATAGATTGGAATGAGGAGAGGGGTTAATCTTTCCTGTATTCTGTAGGTAAATAAATCAGGCTTTATTGCACTTTAAAGCATAGTAGATGTCAGAGTGGAATTTACTTTTAATTTATGCAGGTTTGCCATATACAGTGCTGCTCCTCTGTCCACAGTTGTACCCAGGCTGTCTTTGTTTCTTTACTTCTGTTGTTCTAAAGGACGTGGATTTCTGTTCTCCCTGTCTCCCCGTTGCATGCAGTTTTTCATTCTCAGTGTGGCAAAGAGTTCGCTCAAGGAATGTACTGATTTATATTTGCTGTTTGCGTTCCTGTCTCTCATGTATTATACCAAAAAAATGTATATGATAAACCCCCCCCTGGTTTAATCCGTACAAAGGTATATATATATTAAACGAAATCTATAAAATAAATGTGAGTTCACGTCATGTCTCGTAGGAACGCTCCGTTCCCTGCTCATTTGCCTCATGATCAGGGGCAGAGGGGCACGCGGCGGGTCCTGAGGCGTGGCTGCGAGCCGGCGGGAGATGGGAACGCGGGGTACCGGCTTGCCAAGAAGGCTGTTGTTCACCAGGCACCGTCTCCAGAACATAAAAATTGTGCTCGTGCCTAGCAGGGAAGAGAGTACCTAGCGTGGGGTAGAAGAAACATAAGAAGTAATTTCTTTCAGATGAGTTTATTTGTGGAATAAAGAAAAGTGTAATTGGCCTGCAATACCTTGACATTTTAACTTTATAATATTTGTACACTAGTTAATATGTGAGTCCCACCATTAAAAACAGAAAAGAGTTCAGACTGGGGTTGATCACATGTGTGAAGCCGATGCTTGACACTATCAAGAAACAAGTGTAATGTTAAAGGTAATGTTTATTCTGGACAATGTATCTTACATATGTAAATTAGTTAGGTTTGGGGTAGAAGATAAGGTTTAGTTAAAGGAAGGCTATTTTCACAAGATGAAGTCTTATCTAACACTTGTGCTTGTCAAGCCAGAGGGATTGTATGGCAATTGCTGGAGTTTTTGTCTGTGAAAGTGCCTCCTTGGATGTTGGTCTCTGAAAGAGATGAACCTAATTAGAGTAGGGGTGTTCAGCTGAGCTCCCCATCTGTCCCAGCTGATCAGCTGTGGCAGTTTCAGAACACCCCTCTTCTCTCCTGGGGCTGGACTGACAAGGCATAGCTGCTTGGCTTTGTCTCTGAAACCTGACCTGTGAGCATTGCTCCTGCTGCCTTTCCCTTAGGCTTTCAGATTCATCAGGGCTGAGGCCTGTGCTGCACGTTTGCAGAGGGGCCCCGGGAGGTTCGAATGAAAGGTGGTCAACGGTGCTTTAAACCCAGACAATTCCACTCAAACCAGCAATGGGAGGTGTAACTGGGTATGTCAGAGTCTGCCAATCCATGATGCTCATAGAATAGTTTAGTTGGAAGGGACCTTTAGAGGCCATCTCACCCACCCCACCCCCCGCAGGGACCAGGGACATCTGCAACCAGATTGGGTTGCTCAGAGCCCCATCCAACCTGGCCTGGGATGTTCCCAGGGATGGGGCATCTCCCACCCCTCTGGGCAGTATGGTCCAGGGTTTCACCACCCTCATTGTAGAAAATTTCTGCCTTATATCCAGTCTAAATCTCCCCTCTTTTAGTTTAAAACCATTACCCCTTGTCCCATAGCAACAGAACCTGCTAAGAAGTTTATCACTCGCTCTATTGACCAACCTCCCTGTCTCCATTCCCAAGTAATGATGAAGAATTGAACTATCATTTGAGGAAGTCATGTTTTTATCTGTTCAGGTCGGCTTACAAATATGCACGTGCACACCCCCCACCCCCCCCAAAAGCTGCCCAGGAGGGTCCGCCGTGATGGGAAGCCCGACATTGCTGTAGACAGTGTGTTCAGAGCTGCACTGGAACAACCAACTGCAGCAGAAGCCCAGAAGCTGGAGAAGGTGGCTCATGCGATGGTGTGGGCACTGTTGAAGAGGCTGAGGGGTCCTCAGGATCAGCTGGCCTACATGCTGAGGAGGGCTGCCCTGGGGATCAGAGAAAGACTGTGTGCCAGCGCCCGAAGGGCAGAGCCTTTGGAACTTTCTCCTCCAGATCGTGTGCAGGAAATGGCACAGGTGGCCAAAGGCCTTGTAGCGACCATGTTGGAGAGCTTGGGGAAGCGTTTGGCATCTACCACATCCCAAGCATCGGAGCCAGGGCCAACAGCCAGAGGAGCCACCCGAGTGGGCAAAACGACGGAAGAGAAACCACAGCAAGCTGAAACAGCAGCTTCCAAGAGAGCATCTTCACAGGCTTCCCTAGACAAGCTCACCAGAGAAGTTCTTGACACTGTCTGCTGCACCTTGCAATCCTTTGTGGCTTCTCAAATTTAACCGAGACTACAGCTGCAAATACTCTGAAATCCTGGAGTGACCCAGGCAAAACCTCTCTCACAGACAGCCACAGCCATCCCAGATGCCCTTCTCAGGGCAGGGCATGGAAGAAGGACAGGGACGCCCCAGGGCACCTGAGCAGCAGAGCCTGGAAGCAAGCAAGGGAGCAAAGCTGCCGGTCTTCCAGCCACTGCCGGAGACAACTGCTGCTGACGCCTCGCCACTGAGTCACACGACTGCCAGGCAGAGCAACCAGAAGGCCGTCTCCAGAGCTCAGCAGCACCACGCCGAACAGACTGGGTGTACCGCAGCCATTGTCCCTGAGCTTCCTGGAATAGTGAAGAAGACAGCAGGGAGGGAAAAAAGCCAAAGCCAAGAGCCTTAGCCAACACTCGGGCTAGAAGAAGCAGGGCAAATGGGATTGCTGACTCTGCTCTGCAGCGGAACCCTCAACCTGGGCCTGCACTGAGCCCCAAACCGCATTCTCCAAGGCACCTTGCAAAACCACCCAGAGCACGAGCTGGGAAGGAGAGCTATTCTGCTGCAGACACCCTCCCCTCCTTGGGCCCACAGTTTTCCAGATAGCCCATCCCTCCAGCAGCTCCGAAGCCTCCTGCCCAGGCAGGAGCACAGTGCAGACCAGTGCGCGTCAGGTTTGTCTGAGGCAAGCCCCCGCAGCCCGGGTCAGAAACGAGGGTGCTCGCTGCGAGTTTGTGCGTGTCTTCAGGACAAGGGGATACTGGCGACTGAAGTGGAGTTTCCGGTATGGGAGTTACCAGGTCACTCACGTTCCATCTATACCAAATCTTGCATTGTAACTTGGAGAACTTAACGTTCATGATAGAAATGCCAGTAGCTTCTCCTGAAGAGCTGCGAATTTGCACACACACTCCTTGGTCAGTGTGGGTCCAAATGCTGCGCTCAAAGCCTTGAATTAGTTCCCAGGCACGGTTTGGGGATGCATTTACTCCCCTCCAACCCCCTAAGAAAAACAAAGGGTTTTCTAAAACATCGTGTTCTGTTAGAACATACAAAAGCAACACAGAAAACTGACACAACACAAACAACTACCAAGGGTAGTAACACAAACACAGGGTTCACACAGGTTTCTGCAAGGACCTGCAAATACACACAAGAAACAAACCAAGTTTAGAAGGATGGCGCAGTCCATCTGGTGTTGACCTGGTGATCTTTTCTGTGAGCATCAGTGGCTCTCCAGGCATATAGGGCACGCAGGGTTCCCTCTCCACCGCGCCTTTTTTTTTTTCTTTTTCTCCTTGCCTTTACAGGTAATAGTACTTCCCCTACTACTGGCAGGTCCACGAGAATTGGTTGTCCTGGATAGTGGGGTGCTTTTACCAGATCTTTTATTTCCCTTTTCCCTGGGAGAAGGGAGGGGGGGTCTGGGGTAAACGGAGGCGAGCCTAGGGCCTCCATTTACCAGCCAGCAGCTGTTTCCTTTCATTACAGCATTGGAAAGACCAACGGACCATACAACACTCTTGGATTTGAAGACATGTTTCAGCAACCCTTTATTTCTTTCCACTAGCCCACTAGCTTGAGTGTAGATTCCCTTGCCTACTCTGGATCAGCTTTCTTGCAGCTTCACCAGCCCTCGTAGAGCCTGCGTGACCCACACCTGCGTGCGTACCACCAGCGCAAAGACAACCTGCGGAGGCTGAAGGCAGTGGGTCACGTCACCAGCAATGGCAAAGTAGGTTTGGACATTGTCGGGCTGATCAAAACAGTTCCCTTCGAGGGGGGTTCCCCAAGCGCAGAGGGAGCGTGTGCAGAGGAGCAGCTCCGCTCCCGCAAGGCTTCGGGCTGTTCTGGGGAAGGCGGTCTGCGCAGCTGGCTCCACGGGGCTTGGGCGATTGCTCCCCTCGTCTCTCTGTAGGTGGTGTGCACTCTGAAGGAGTTCAACGAGTACAGGCACTATCTGACCACACTCGAGCTAAAGGCAGAGAAGATGCACAGGTGAGCAGAGGTAGGCAAAGCCCAGTGTTGGCAGACACCTGTCAGTGGCACGGTGCCCAGGGCTGGAGCTTTACTTGCGGCACCATGGGGAGGCGGTCAGTGCAGGAGAGGCGAGGGCTGTGCTGACGGGCCCTACCTTGCCAAGGGGAAAGGATGAGCTGGCTCCAAGTGCAGCTGGTGCGGGCATGGGCAGGAAGCTAATGAGCGAGCAGGCCGAGTCCTGAGGAAAGCCCTTCTCTTGGGCCCTCATCATGTGGCTGAAGCCAAG